CGACAATGAGCTAGTGTTAATTACAGCAACACTAATGGCGAATGGCTACCCACGAAGATTTATCGAGAAACACAGCCAACCGCGAGGGCCAAAGGACTTGGTGCCCACGGCAGCCAGGAAGAAAGTGTATATCGAGTTACCCTTCAAAGGTGACTTAGCCACGCTGAAGACAACTAAGCGTATAATTTCGGCTACACAAGGAAGTTACTATGCTGCACAAGTTGTCGTCATCAACCGAACCCGAAATTTGCCCATACCTCCAACGCAGGAAGCTCAGCTTATTGGGGCCAACTCACACTGTGTATACCAATTTGTATGTGACTGCGGAAACATTACATAGGCAGAACCAATAGAACGCTGACTTCCCAAATAAAGGAACATGTACCAAGATGGGTTCAACGTGTAGTTGCTCAGATTGCCTACCCTCGTCCGATTCCATGTTCGCGCAGACCGCCGGCTTCCTCGATAGGCAAACACCTATTAGACTTGGGTCACCAGATAGAGCTGGGCTCAGCGTTTAAAGTTGTGTTACTGTTGTGTGGCCGCTGACGCCTTCACCGCACGACCGCAAGAAGAAGTCCAAGACGAGCCAGAAGGAGACTTGTATACATGAAATCACAGTTGCTTATATAGGTTGAAGGCGAAAGGAAGGGAAGCTACTAAAGTACACATGCGCCAACCAACTGAAAGAAAAACGTCAAATGCAACGGCGAATAAGCAACCGTGTACTCAAGAGCGAATCGCGTATGTCCTTAAAAATGGCATCATTGGACTCCAATCGTAAAGCGAACGTCCATTTACAGTGACGGACACTGGCCAATCAGAGTGATGCAATGAAACATTTAAACAAAGTCATGAAACCATCGAGATTAAGGAATGCAGACGCAAAAGTTGAAAAATAGTACAATAATTGTGTGACAACTAAATATTCCTTTAACATAACCAAGTAGAACAGTGATGCGAAGAAAAAACCAATAGAATATGTTCTTGCAAATGGCGCTGCTGATAAGGACGTGACGATGAGCGTCCATTATCAATGACGTGGAAGTACCAATCGGCCTAATCCAGTAAAGCGTTTAAACAACAGTCAAGAAATAGTAAACAGGAAGTGTAAAGAACAGCTATCAAGTTCGTTCACAATAAATGAATGTCTAATACCTGTTCTCCTAATAGTTTAATCCCCGCTTCGTTCTTTTTGCTGAGGCTGTCGCTATAAGCCGGAGTAAGTCAGCCTTGTGTGTTCAGAAACAATTGTTTTTCAGCCTAAAGCTGCCTTGGACGTAGGTGTGAATTTCCGCCATTCGTTTTGCACCTTAAGCTTGTCTGGTTGCACCCACTGTTAGCTATATCAATGCATATCGGTTATTGTTAATGGTACTGAGAAGACAATACGACATGCCGGAATGTTAAGAGCAGTTTGAAAGCGATTCACCATAAGTTTATTGTGTTGAAACGAAATAACTCTCCTGGACCCGCTGATCTTCCTCCTCTTTGTTAGAAGACGGAAGTGGCCCTTTTTGAATGGACTTGCTGCTCTATTCACCACTAGTTGAGACTGGCGATTTTCAGCTGTCTTACCCATCTTCAAGAAAGGTTAATACTGCATAAATAATCGAGGCATTCGTCTTATTTCATGTTTTCAATGCTCACTTGTATCGTTCTTCGACAACTTACTTATCCTCGTGAGAGCCGAATCATTGGAATCCAGGCCGTTTTCCACCCTGGTCGTAATAGAATCGACCACATATTTACTCCCAGTTAAGTGTTGGAGCAGAGACACACGGAGGATCGACTATGTTGGTCTTATCTGAATTAGCTTTTGACTGCTGGTCTAGCCAGCTTGTTTCAACGCCTAATCATGAAGGGTGTACCTGTAAAACTACTTCAGTTCTAAGATCTACCTACTTTGACTCCCGAGGCCGGATGAGGATTTATGGAAGCTGTCTCCTGACTTTGCCACGACAAGTGGGGCTCGCCAGACTTGTCTCACAGCTGCTTTCTTCTTTAACATAGCGATCGAAATGATCATACATGACTCCGTTCTTTCACTCTCCCGGGGTGAAAGTTCTGCCAAGTAACCGACTGACAAACCTTGAGTTCACTGACGACAGTGGCGATGCAAGCACTATTGCATAGACCGGTGTGTAGCGCTGCAGGATACAGTATATACTTTGTACCTTTAAAGTGCTATTACACCACCGGTTCTAGCTATCAGCCAACAGCCACCGGAATTGTTGAATTGGTTCACCCACCTTGGTGACTGTGTAACCGCTGGTGGCTGCTTCACTGAGCACGTTACTTCGCGTCTCAGTAAGGTCCGTGTGGTATTTCAGACGCTCAATCATCTGTGTAGACGGTGGGATACTAACCAGTCAGTGAAGGATATGGTGCATAACGCTGTGAAAAGGCCGGTATTACTGTGTAGATTAGGGTCTTCGCCAGTTTGCAGTGACAACATTTAACGTTTGGCCATGTTAAACCATCAGTGGTATCGGAGTATTAGTCACGTTTGGTGGGTACACCGGGTGAACAAACTAAGGTCCACCAGTTGATTTTTGGCAACAAGCCCTCTGGTGCCTCATTCGAGTGTTTAATGAATCCTAATCTCCTAAGATGGCTTGGTCATGCCTCCGTATATCCGCTAACCGGCTTTGTCGACGGGTATTATGTACGGTCGCTGCACCGAGTTGGACGAAACCACGAGGTGTCCATTCGATGACGTCACATAAAGGCATACAGAAATTGATTTATATACTTGGTGCGACTGGTACGTACCGTCTTCGCGGATTCGGACCTCAGGCTTGTCCACTCCAGTGGTTGCCAATCCTTTCAGACATGACGAAGTCGCCAAGTCAGCGGCCGTCCTGCATTCAGTTTCTTGCATTTGGTTGTTGACTTCGTCCCATCCCGATTAATTTAACGTACTCGATTTTCGATTCTGATTGCTTTGTATCCTATTTACTTTCACCATCATTATCTTGCCGTTGTTAATTTTCGCTAAGCTAGCGACGGCAGTCTTGGCAACTGGATACATTGCATTTCGGTACCTGGTTAATAGTTGTTTAACTGAACCGAACAGTGGAACAATAGAAGATTTTATGACAGGTAAAACAGCACAGTCTTAAGATGTCCCGTAGGTTGGTAATAGAGGAAATGAAACCAAGTAAAATACATCGGTAAAGCGATAGAGCAATGGCGTATAGAAAGAAGCTTGTACGGTGAGATGGTACCATACAAAACGGATTAAAAGTTGCTATGGTTAATTCCGATAGCAGATAACAATCGGATTGTTCCCCAGTCTGCGCAGATTCATGTGTATCAGTGTGGGTTGTAATACTAGAGAATCCAGTTAGCCTGAATATATCTAGGGTATCTGTTTATGCAACGAAGTGTAGGGAGCTCAGGGCGATTTACAACTGGCTTTTGAGAATCGCTAGATACGGGCACAGACAACTGAGTTTGGAAGTGTGTTACAGGTGTGCGAGGCCCGGAGAGACAAATAAGTTCGTCGACAATCCAGACAACTGGAGGATAAAACTATTCCTATTTCATCCACTGTCAAATATCTCGGTGTCTAGTTTTTTTTACAAAACTTGCTTTGTCCATGAAAGTTTTGGAGAACTCTCAAAAGGTTAGAAGCTTATCCTTATATGCTTTCCGACTTAAGAAGTTCTCCGTACCACCAAACTTAATTTGGAGACTTGTAACTGCATCTATACTACCCCACTGGTTGTACTGTTCCCCAGTAATCTTCCCTGGGCTACTGCAGAAAGACTATGTCTTGATTGTGCGATCGATTAAACATATTTCCAGATGTACTGGCTTGCCGAGTGATACCATAGTTGATTTTATTGTTCGTAAGCATTTTAACGCTTGCGTGGAGTTTTCGTCCAAGTTCTTAAGTGGTCGCTCTCATCCGCTACATGATGCTCGATCACAAACCTTATCTGTCTCTCACACACGCTCAAAATTAAAGATTTTATTCTCTCGCATTTCTTTGTATCGTAAAATAATCTTGCCTTGTTCATCAGGCTATCTTGTCGACCCTATGAAACTCACGAATTCTTTACGCATGCAGTTGCTTAAATGACATCCACATACCTTTGACTGTTTAAGTCTTCAATCTGTGTTTATGTAATTTTAACTGGTCCCATTCATTCAGTGTTTTCGCGGTGATAGTATAAACTCTGATAGTGCACCTGTTTAGGTGTATAAAACCTATTATGACTTGGCTTGACTGTATTGCTGCGTCAGATTCAGTCAACTGTCTCTGAGGCTGGTGTTCTTGCTGAGTTTCAAATTTTGACGGCATCCGTTACTGGAGTCGTTCAGCATTTGGTAAATTAATATGAGGTCTCCACATAGCTTCTAGTAGCGGCCACTGAACACTCCGAGTATTTTCAGTCGATCTTGACACGAAAGGTGGCGCAAACCCTCGATATTTTTGATGCTCGACCTTGTGTTACCGAGCGCTGCAACATCTTACTTTGGCCAAGTTTGCCAAGCCTGGATGGCGTGTTCGACGGGGGGACGCACGTAAGTATTGAGCATCAGAAATAAGAAAAGAATCCAAAATTTCGAGTGTCCTCCGCAAGTGATCTACCTGCTAGTTTCCTCTTTTGAAGTGAAATGTGGCTGCCTGCAACAACTGTCGTACTGCACAGGCACACCCACGTGACGTTCTCAGAGCATATCTGCAAATCGTGCGCCCCCAGTTTGTAGCTGTATGATTTTCGATGTCGGGTGCGAATGAGTGTGGCTCAATTTTCACTACCTACTGGGTACATAGATTTATCGATGTGTCTTATACCCAAAATAAGGAAACTGATTTGTGAAAATGTGAATACTGGTATGCTCCTATGATCGCTTATAACAATTACATCCTTGGATATACACTTTATTTCCTTGCAGTGTGTGCTAGATTGGATTTTGTGCAAATACATGTAAGCTATTCATTCAGCCTGTTGAACTTTTCTTGAAACTCCTCTCTTTATTTTTAGATTTGGAACAACAGTATGGATTAAGAGGCAAGTTTATGTATATTTATTGGTTCTAATACGGCTATTACACCTGTTTAACAATGCAAATAAACGGAGCATCGATCCGGATGTTCTGGAAAAGTCATTCGTTCCTACAAGCCACCGTAAGGATCAGTTGGCGAACTGAAAAGTTCGCGTGGCAAAATCTACCGTTGTGAATAATGTTATACATAAATAAACAAGTGCGTTATCATGATAACACCGCACGAGTTATATCCGAAAAAGTTTATCTGCCTGTTATCAACTGTGTACTGCAGATTGCGTGCAAACATATGTACATAGCATCATGAACATCTGGTATAGTTGGGATAGAAAATTCATCAAAAGACATACATCGACGCACACACACACACACAGAGACAAACACTCACACACTTGTTCGTTTGTCAGCTGGCCTACTACCACGGCAGAGCCAATGTGACGAACGCGTCCTTTTGTACACATAGGGTGGGGCCCAGTTGTTTGATGGCCACCGCTTCGCCATATCGTAAAAACTGGGGTTTATCTGACACGAAGATCACCCGGAATGTGCTCACAGGGTCTAAGTTGTGTCTGCCTGTTAGCAGGTGTCGGGCGATTGACGAGGCTGGAACTTAGTATGGCAAATCGTTAGCATTTGGGTAGATGGTTGAGGTCGTTTGCGAGACGTGTCGTCTCAACTTCTTCGGCAAATGTTCCGCAATTCTCACCTGCAGCTGACGCTCTGTCATACCAATGTAGTCGGCCTTGCGACTACTTGTAAATTGGTAACGGAACATCATAGAGCTGACAGGCAAGGTTATGTCCAGCATTGACGTTGTCTCACTGTTCACAAATGTGCCACAGAGACCAGCCAGATTGTATGTAACTATGTGACTGAGAGTCAGTTGTAAATAGGCCTTCCAGTCTCCTGTGCACACCGAATGTAAAATTTTATTTTCAACAAGAAGGCTATTGACAGATGGATGGTGTCACAATGGGCAGTTCGCTCGGACCAGTGCTAGCGGATATTTTCGTTGCTCACCTCGAAAATCAAGCTAGGAATGAAATTAAACAAGCCGTGCTTTTTCGCAGGTATATGGACGACATCCTGCTCATGTGTAATCCAGAGGTCCATCTCACTCAACTAAGTAGCAAATTAAATACCATGCACCAAAACATCATGGTGACAACAGAACATGAGCAGAATGATAGTTTGTCGTATTTGGACATCTTGATAGAACGGAGGAAGGATGGATGAATACCTAGATCTGTCTACCGCAAACTCACATGGAAGGGTCAGTATGTGAACTTTGATAGCTTTGTCCCAAAGCGCTACAAACAGGGCCCGGTGCGGTCTCTCTTTGATAAAACGAGGAAAACATGCACTCCTGATGCGCTAGAACAGGAGATACACATGCTCATCAACACCCTGACAGAAAATGGGTACCCGCCTGCTTTCGTTGCTCAATTTAGCAACCAGATAGCAGAAGAGAAAGTACCCACCGTACCGAAATTGAAACCAATGCTGCAACTACCGTTTAAGGAGGACGACGTAACCCGAGTATTGCAACGCAGTTTGAAATCCGTAGTGGCACGTGTGTACGCCGCAGCGCAACCGGTATTACTGTATACAACGACTTGCATCCCTAATTCGTCGGGTAGGCCACCAGTACCTCTGTGCAACAGTTCACACGTCCTTTACCAATTTACAAGTAGTTTCAAGGCCAACTACATCGGTATGACAGAGCGTCAGCTGCAGGTGAGAATTGCGGAACATTTGCCGAAGAAGTTGAGACGACACGTCTCGCAAACGACCTCAACCATCTCCCCAAATGCTAACGATTTGCCATACTAAGTTTCAGTCTCGTCAATCGCCCGACACCTGCTAACAGGCAGACACAACTTAGACCCAGTGCGCACATTTCGGGTGATCTTCGTATCAGATAAACCCCAGTTTTTACGATATGGCGAAGCGGTGGCCATCAAACAACTGGGCCCCACCCTATGTGGACAAAGGGACGCGTTCGACACATTGGCTCTGTCGTGCTAGTAGGCCAGCTGACAAACGAACAAGTGTGTGAGTGTTTGTCTGTGTGTGTGTGCGTCGATGTATGTCTTTTGATGAACTTTCTATCCCAACTATACCAGATGTTCATGATGCTATGTACATATGTTTACACTGGATATGGGGTGTGTGGTTGGAGCTGTGGGTGGTGCAGCGCAAGCCACCCATGGTCCCTCTGTAGGCGCAGGCGTTCTGTGGCTTGCCACAGTGACAGGCAAATCCGAAACCGGATGCCGCCAACCATGCATGTATTGCGCTTATCTTTGGTAATTTTGTTGCGTTTGTAGCATTTTAAGTAATTTGTGGACATTTCTTACTTATCACGGATTTGTTGCTAACCAACTTACTTCATATGGTAATTTAGCGAAGAGTTATGCCACCATATTTGTATGCATTGTTGGATTTATTTTTTTCGGCTTGTCGTTTAAAGTGTATGGGTGTTGTTTTGATATCCCTGGTATGGTTGCGCTTGATGTGCATGTTGACAAGGTGCCTACCTGTCTATTACCCACTACATCGTTCATACTGGCTCCAGGAGACAGTTGGTCGTTGCTGGAGGGGACGAGGTGCACGGTTCTTGTGGCCGTGCTAGGCTCAAAGAGCGGTTCCATGCACTCAGTGTGGAGCGGACTACGGTCCAGCCACCGCCTTGTGTGCGGTTGATTCCCCAAATACAGCGTGCTTGTGTTTGCCTGTGAAGGAGTGTGGGCCGGCTCCGTTGATGAAACGTGGTTCCCATCCGCATGCCTCCCGGTCTTATTCCTTTGGGTTTACACTGGATATGGGGTATGTGGTTGGAGCTGTGGGTGGTGCAGCGCAAGCCATCCATGGTCCCTCTGTAGGCGCAGGCGTCCTGTGGCTTGCCACAGTGACAGGCAAATCCGAAACCGGATGCCGCCAACCATGTTTACACGCAATCTGCAGTACGCAGTTGATAACAGGCAGATAAACTTTCTCGGATGTAACTCGTGTGATGTTATCATGATAACGTTCTTGTTGGAAATTTCATCGGGAAATAAGTGCTTTAAGTAACGAAATAATTAAACTTTTATTCTCGACAACGCCAGGCAAACCTTTACGGACATAATCACGTTAACATAACAGTGTAGTCAAAATCTACAAAAATACATGTTTTATATATAACAGTGAATGTATGTGTATGGATTTGTCTACGTCTGTAATATTTATGTATGCCTCATGCTGAGGCTGATGTTGCATTCTTGATGCTTCTTCACCACACTTGGGCTAAACCAACTTACACTTAATCTATGTCTTTTTAAGCTAGATAAATTTCATTCTACTTTAGTTAGTTTGTTCTGACTACCTGAATAATTTTCTATTAATCTTCACACGCTGCTTACGCTAACTACGCTTATCTTCGTTGACTTTATTGCGTTTGTAGCATTTTACTGTTGACTTCTGGACATTTTTTACTTATAGTGGATACATTGTCAACCAATTTACGTCATAAGCTAATTTGGCGAAGAGTTATGTCTGCATAGCCGTCTGCGTTAACAGGTATGCTTTATTTGATAATGTTATTTCAAGTTATTGGCTGTTACTTGTTATCCCCGATGTGGCTGCGCTTGATGTGCATGTTGACAAGGTGCCTACCTGTCTGTTACCCACAACCGCGTCCATGCTGGCTCCAGGAGACATTTAACGTTGCTGGAAGGGACGGGGTGCACGTGTCTTACGACCGTGCTAGGCCCGAAGAATGGTTCCACGCACTCAGTGTGGCGCGGACTACGGTCCAGCCACCGCCTTGTGTGCGATTGATTCCCCAAATACAGGGTGCTTGTGTTTGCCTGTGAAGGAGTGTGGGCCGGCTCCGTTGATGAAACGTGGCTCCCATCCACATGCCTCCCGGTCTTCTATGGGGTGTGTGATTAGAGCTGTGGGTGGTGCAGCGCAAGCAACCCATTGTCCTTCTGTAGGCGCAGGCGTCCTGTGGCTGGCCACAGTGACAGGCAAATCCGAAACCGGATGCCGCCAACCATAATTGTTATGTACGTAGCTGCGTGGCTTGTGCTTGTTAGTGTGTTGCTGTCTTTTTGACTGTTTAATATCGTCAGGAATGTGAGAAGAAACGAATGATTTCCGTGGGTTGGACAGCATTATCCTGATATCCACGGGACAGTGGATTTAGTTTGTGGAATGTCATATCCGCCATGTCACAGTGTTGTTAAACGGACCACTTCACCAGCTTCACACCAGTGCGGTACAAACGGACACTTGTGAAGACTCTAGTTAGTCGTGCCATACGAATTTGTTCGACCGACTGTCTGGACGATGAGCTAGTGTTAATTACAGCAACACTAATGGCGAACGGCCACCCTCGAAGATTTATCGAGAAACACAGCCAACTGCGAGGGCCAAAGGACTTGGTGTACACGGCAGCCAAGAAGAAAGTGTATATCGAGTTACATTTCAAAGGTGACTTCGCCACGCTGAAGACAACTAAGCGTATAATTTCGGCTACACAAGGAAGCTACTATGCTGCACAAGTTGTCGTCATCAACCGAACCCGAAATTTGCCCATACATCCAACGCAGGAAGCTCAGCTTATTGGGGCCAACTCACACTGTGTATACCAATTTGTATGTGACTGCGGAGAAAGTTACATAGGCAGAACCAATAGAACGCTGACTTCCCGAATAAAGGAACATGTACCAAGATGGGTTCAACGTGAAGTTGCTCAGATTGCCTACCCTCGTCAGATTCCACGTTCGCGCAGACCGCCGGCTTCTTCGATAGGCAAACACCTATTAGACTGGGGTCACCAATTAGAGCTGGGCTCGGCGTTTAAAATTGTGTTACACTAATCCCCGCTTCGTTCGAGTTGCTGAGGCTGTCGCTATAAGCCGGATTAAGCCAGCCTTGTGTGTTCAGAAACAATTATTTATCAGCCTAAAGCTGCCTTGGACGTAGGTGTGAACTTCCGTCATTCATTTTGCACCTTGAGCTTGTCTGGTTGCACCCACTGTTAGC